AAAACAAATTAATTGAAATAATTATTAAAAAAAACAAGGGAAAAACGAAAAAAATGATAACAAACTTCTGTAACAAATATATGTAATGCACAAACATGATACAAACAACTATTGCCTAGGAGTCATCCCCGAATTCCCAACCAAACTCGAGTAAGAAATCAAAGACTAAAAAAAAGATAACATTTATCATAATAATTGGAAAACTACTAAAGAATAGTTTTTAGAATTTTTATTCTTTTATTTTCTTGCAGGTTGTTTATTTTTAAATCGATCTTAATTGGGAATTCGGGTATGACTCCAAGGCAAAAGTTGTTTGTATTATTATTCTGCACAACATACTTTTTTTTTCAGATTTTTTTGATTTTTATGGTGTTTTTTTTTTTTTTTTTTTTTTTTCCGTACGCGTACGCACGATTTTGGGTTCGTACGCGTACGCCGGAATACGTACGCGTACGGGGTGCTACCCAGGATTTTTTTTTTCCATTTTTCTTAGATTCCCTGCCAGCGAGGAAGGGCATATCCCGTGATCTACTGAACAGCCCTCGTTGAGGGCATACTCACACTTGCACACAGACAAATGTATCTAACTAATTTCAGGGCCAAATTTCATGTTTCGATTTTTTCTTCTTTGAGATTCATTTCTTTGTTCTTTTTTTCCTTATTTGGATTCTGACAGAAACGCCACGGGGCTGATAAACCCAAACTGCGACGTGCTCACATAAGCACTTAAGAGAATGCATCCAACTGCATTCACATCCACAGGGTTGTTGTTTGTTTTTTTGTTTTTTTTTTGCTGTTTTTTGTTTTCCAACTGGTCCCCCCAGCCTCGGCCCGTCCAGCTACTGGTACTGCCAGGCTTGGCAGGCTCGACATACAGGTCGCTGGAGACTCGGACTTGATAGCTGGGCCGAGTACTGGTGGTTTACGACCACATGTTCTGGGGGTTCAGGTACCGGACCGAAATGGCTGGCGGCGCCAGCCAAAAGCAAGCCCGCGTCGCTTCGTTTTTTTTAAGCTCGCAGAGCGAATTTAGGCTCAGCATCAATAGCTGGGCGGGGTACTAGTGGTTTAAGACCTTCCATGGTCCTCTGTATGTGGGCAGCAGCTTCTGAGAAATGCCTTCTTCCAGTATGTAGTCTTTAGACTTTACCCAGACTAGGTCTCATCGAATGCAAACCATGATGGTCTTCGGTGCTTGTGGGGCTCTTCTACCACCTCAAACCAGGCATGTCTGTCATGTTTCCAGTGACCTTCTCTATATCTTTCTCATACTTTAGTGCGAATTCATGAGCGTTGCATGGCAGTCTTGAACTTGATCAGTATTCAGGAGTCTACGGGGCTTCATGGCTTCCAACCCTTGTGAAACTCCTAAGGTGTTGTAGCATGCTGGAGTGTGGCAGACTGCGTAGCCACGCGGGCCTGCAGGGCCCGTCTCACATTCTCAGCCTAAAAGCCTAGAAAATAGGGCTTACAGGCCCCATGTCGTTTCAGCCTGAAACTGAAAACGAGGGCCTGCAGGCCCTATTTCGTTTTCAGCCCTGTGGCTTTTCAGCCTGAAACGGAGGGCCACTTTCGGGCCCTGATAAGATCGACCTACCCTAAGACTCAGGCACAAAAACAGGGTTTCGGGAACAGGCTATCTTTATCCTGTTTCCCACGACTGCCTCAAGCAGGAGCTGCAGCAGCAGCCCCTGACTCCCTACGGCATTGGCAAGAGCAGCCTCCTGGACTGCTGCCTCGCCTGCAGCCAGTCCAGGCCGAGTAGTACATAGGGGTTTCCCATGCACTTCACGGGTAGGTAGTTGGACAGTAGGACGAGTAGTCTTCAGGATTCGGCCGCAGCACTCAGGGGGAGCGCTGCAGGAGGTAGCTTAGCGCTAGCAGTAGCCTTCAGCACTGGGCGCTAGTAGCCATAGCGGTAGTCTTCAGCGCTGGGCGGTAGTAGGTGGTAGTGGTAGTGTGGGAGAGAGATGGCTGGCGGAGGCCAGCGAGACTTACCTGTGGCGCCATAGCTCCAGCTCCATCTTCGAGGTACCTGCATCAAGGCGCCAACTTCACAGGTTAGTACCGGACTGAGAGAGAGAGAGAGAGAGAGTTCTTCTTCTTCCTCTTCTAAGTCCACCATCTCTTCTTCCCCTCTCACCACCTAACTTCTCAGTATCAGCGGACTACTACAGAGAGAAAGAGTTGTGACTTGAGACTTGACGACATTGGATCCAGACTCGACATTGGGATTCAGACATTTTGACGAGGGACTATTTGGGCCTGTGCCGAAGACTTGGTGTTGACCACATTCCCCATCTTCCCCTCTTCTTCGTCTAACCCCCATCTCCTTCATCTGTGTATGGTTGGGGCTGGCGCAGTCTTCCTGTGTGAAGCGCCAGACCCTTCGCACCCTGGAATGATGATGATGATGTATGTTCAGGGCTGCATTGCAATATTGATTGTTCGGATCATTGGTATCTAAGCCTTCCGCTATGCTATCTTGTACTTTGTATTGAGAGGTCGGTTCTTGTTCTGGTCTGCACAGTTACAGTATGCAACATGGAGCCTGCTACAGGCGCCCCAAAGGCCCGACTTTTGCACTTTGGCCCAGGCCGCACACCCCTTTAATTTGAGCGGCATGGAGGGCCACGACCATTCTTCTAGGCCTTGGTTTACTTTTGTCCCATTCCATTATTTATTTAAACTATTTCTAGGAAGATTTTCACGACCGGCCGGTCTGGACCAGCCAGTTACCCGGGCATGGGGAAAAAAAAAATAATAATAATTCTTTTATTTTTTGGCGGAGGGGATTTTCTGCGCTCTCCGAAAGGAGCCCAAATCCAGGTTCTTTTCTTTTCTCGAGTGTTGGCTGTAAAGGGCGGGGGAAGGGGGGAATAAATTGTTTTTGAAAGGGCTACAGGGTTTTATGCAAGAAAAATGAGCAATATCGAGATGACAACATCCAGATTGCACAATCACATGTCAGGAACAAGCCCTCAAGGGGCCCTATCAGACATCACATGTTCTGGGCTAAGGCCCCCAGCAAGCCGAGTGCCGGCCCTACGTGGAGGCGGGCCTGAATATTCGTGAGCCTCACTAAGCTGCGTCGTACAGTTGGCCCAGGCCTTGACAGTTGCGCCTGAGCACATACAGACAAAGCAGGGCCGATACATTGGGAAGCAGGCCATCAGCCTTTGGAAAAGCAGTACCGCCGACGCGCCTACCTGGGAGCACTGCACAGATGCAGCAAACAGCCCACATCCGGAGACTCAGGCCGTGCCCAACTGAAAAGGGCCCAGGCCCTCAACTGTAGTCTCGGGCCTGGGCGCAGGATCTGCGGCCCAACAGGAAGCTACTGGAAGCTTCCAGCCAGGCCACACGCAGCATCCAGGAGGCTGCCACTTCCATAAAAGAAGTGAGGCAGCCCAGGCCAGGCATTCTGCCCAGTGCTGGCAATGCGGAAGAGCTGCTGCGCTACTGCTTGATGCTGCGCTGCGGCCAAGGGCGCTGACGGGGCGCATAGCGATGGATGTGGGGCGCTGCAGGGCAGAGGGGCACAGGCGTCCATAGCCGGGCTGCTGGGCACCAGGGGGTAATGTGTTGCATACTCGTGAAACACAGTCATAAGTATGGCACAGATTCCCAGAACCGACCAGATAATACAGAGTAAGTACAAAATACAGTGGACGACTTGATACACATGGACTGACTCAGACTGCAACGAATCTCTCACAAGCATGCATCGGTGGTGTGAAGGCCCTGGCCTTGAACATAGAAGAAAAGGCCAGGGGCTGATCTCATACACGGATGAATGGAGAGACGAAGGCAGGAGGAGAGGGAAGATGACGTCAACTCAACGTTTCCAAAAATAGTTATCTTGAAATGCCAGAGGTAGCGAAAATCCGAAATGTCGCGAATACAGAGTCTCACAATGTTTCAGATATCGATCTCACAGTGTCAAGATACATCTCCAGAGGGAGATGGAGTCAGATCCCAAAGTAGTCCTCAACCTGCAGTCCCAACGTTGCTATCTCCAATATCACCAGAACTCATAACCATCCTTCGTACTCATGGTAGCCCAGTAGGAGTAACCCAAGAGTAAACCGAGACTTGGAGGGTAGGAGGAGAGAGAGAGAGAGAGAGAGAGAGAGAGAGAGAGAGAGAGAGAGAGAGAGAGAGAGAGAGAGAGAGAGAGGAGGAGGAAGAAGAGGGAG